AAATAGGTTTACTTAGTAAAGAAAAAAGGTTTGGTTAAAAAACTCCAAATTCGGAAATTTTAAAGACAAAAAAAAAAATTTAGTTAACATATTTTTACTGTTTACTATGTTTTGTCACTGAACCTAAACTGAACATAGACTTAAAAGTTCAATACTGAACCTGAACTGAACATGAACCTGACTTAAAAGTTCAATACTGAACCTGAACCTGAACTTGACCAAAGTTCAGTTTAGTTCAGGTTCATAGGAACACTAGAGCTAATTGAACATTTTTTATTTTAATAAATATTATGCCAATCTGCAGAATCATATATACATTAGTGAATGTTATAATAATAAAAGATAAAAGAAGTGGTTTTTAATTAGAATACAAGAGAAAAAAATAGATTTATTGAATTAAATGAAATTTGTATTTATAGCAAAATCATTAAATTACTTTATTTCTTATGCTAGAAAATTTTAGACTCTTATTTGTAATAATTTTTAAAAATTGGACCCCAACATATAATTATTTTTAATTTGGACCCTGCTCATAATTATTTTGATTTTTTCAATTTTTTCCACAATTACTAATCCAAATTAAATAAAATTTTTACTGTAGATAGATATAATATAAGGCTATAATATATTGAAATTTTAGCCAATTTGGATTGGTAATTCTTGAAAAATTACTTAAAACTACAGTATAAATAATTTAGTTAAATATTTGGTTATAATTTTTAAACAATTTCTGCATAAAATTTTAGTATGTTGTAGCCCTGTATCATATTTATTTGCAAAAAAAAAAATTGATTGGTCAATAGCCTTATCACTAGGATGAGAGTATGGCCTATGTAAACCCTAATTACGTATAATATAGTATTATTAATCATAATCGGTGGAATCCGACTGGGATAGCGATACATCACTGTAGCGGTAAATTACAAAGCCCTCTAAATTAAACAAATTTATAAATAGTTAGGGTTATATAGAGTGAGGGTTAAGTTTAAATTAGCTATCTAAAGAAGATCCAATAACTTAACGTAGATGCTTAATTGCTTGGTTGAGCGCAGTATTTTACTTAGTTAAACGCTTAGTTGAACGCAGTATTTTACTTAGTTGAACACAGTTAAGCGCATTTTTTAGTTAAGCGCAGTATTTTTTAGTTAGTATTTTTTTTTTTTAGCGCAGTATTTCTTTTAGTTGAGCGCAGTATTTTTTTTTTAGTTGAACGCAGTATTTTTTTTTTTTAGTTAAGAGCAGTATTCAAGTTTTTTTTTTTCGAGATAAAATTTTACAATATTGGATTCCGACCCATTTAGACCGGAATTTTGGTTTTTTTTTTTTCTGCCACTATAAAAAATTTCTTTTTAAAGGGTTGCCACTAATCTAACTATTATAAATTTAATTTATAATTATATGACCTTAGCTTATATCGGCTGGCTTAGCTAGCTAAGCCGATTTCAGGATTTATCGCGGCTATATACCTTTTCATGTATTAGCCCTCCTCTTAACGTTAGGTATTAATATATACATCTGCTATAGGTAACAAACAAATAAGTAAATTTGATCAATCAGGTGATGTGCTCCGAGATTGCTATTTATTTATTAATTTAATTATTCCCACTGCGTTGATATTCTTAAACAACAGAAATGTTCGATTCGGAAGACGATTGTCAAATACAACAAGAAAATGAGATAATGGCGATCAAGGTAAATGCACCTGCAATTTATTTGTTTATAAAGTAATAGTAATCGTATGTAGTTCAAGCTCATTGGGTGTGCTGTCCAACTTGGAACCTCACATTGCATAAGGCAATTTACGAACAAGATTTCACATATACAGAAAACTCTATAAAAGCCCCACGATTTCGAGGAGTCCTTTCGATTAAAATTTCTCTTCCTCAAGAAGATTTGATATTTTTTACTGGTGAAAGAAATGCCAGTAGTGATCCTCCACTTAAAGTTCGGTACCTACCTCCAGTCAAAATCATATTTGCAATGCCAAATGATTATCCAAATCAAAAGGCATTAAAATTTGAACTTGAATGCCTTTGGATGCGTTGGGATTGGTTAAGAAAACTAGAAAGGAAATTGCTACAAATTTGGGAAGAAAAAAAGGAAGTGGTATGTTTTAATAATTTTTTATTCAATCATTTGATATTTATATCATATTATGATGTAGCTATTACTTCTCTTGGTAGGTCTTAGATTATTTTGCAGAATTCATACAATATGAAGCTTTGGATTATTTACAAATAACATTCCCTTTGAGACTTAATGATGGTTCGTAAACTTTTTTTTTTTTCTTTTCATATTTTTGTTCATCGTGTGATGATTTAATAAATCATTAATTCCATTAGATTATATTGGTGGATCCATGCTCAAAACGATTATACATACATATAATCAACAAGCCATGAATCAAGACTTTGCCAATGATCATTTTAATTGTGGCATTTGTCTCGAGGAGAAGCGTGGTGAACGATGTTTTCAACTTCGTACATGCCAACATGTGTTTTGTCAGGAATGTCTTAGTGAATATTTTATAATGCTTATTCGTGAAGGATTCATTTTACAAATAAAATGTCCGGATCCTGGTTGTAAATCGCAACATAAATTGTCCGCTGACGAAGTGTCAGAAATAGTTGGGCCTGAAATGGGAAAAAGATATTCAGATCTATTAGAAAAGCAGAAGTTAGAGACTGATCCTTTAGTTACCTATTGCCCTCGTATAATTTGTCAAGCACCTGTCAAGAAAGATTCCAATTTTGAAAAACTTTGCATATGCACGAAATGTAGGTTTGCTTTTTGTTGGTTCTGTCAACGAACTTGGTGAGTTGATTTATATTGTTAATTCGCGTTTCTTACTATTGAATGATATTAACACAAAATTGGAATTATGGAAAGGCATGGGGCTAGTACACCCTGCCATTTGGACAACACTAAGAAGATAGTCGAAGAGTATATGAATGCAGATGAGTCCACAAAAGCAATAATGGAGCTTCGTTATGGAGCAAAGAATTTGGAGAAATTGGTTCGTGATGCCACTGCTGAATTAGAGACGGACAAGTGGGTGAAGTCTAACACACAACCATGCCCACAGTGCGAGACACCCATTGAAAAATCAATGGGGTGTAATCATATGGTATGCACACGTTGCGAAACGCATTTTTGTTACTTATGTGGACATTGGATAGATTCTAAAGAGCCTTATAAGCATTTCAATGATTCCAAATCTCCATGTAATCAACGATTGTTTGATGGAGTAAATGTGGACGATTTTGATATACCAGATGATTTTGTTATTGTTTGACATAATATTAAATGTAAAAAATAAGGAAAGGTGAGTTGGCATATTGTAATTATGTGCATTTTCATCGAGAAACGATATAATACATTTCATATATTTGTATTTTTGCATGGTCCAAAATTTATTATTATTTCATAATACAGTTGAACCTCCCAAAACCGATCCTGTCAAATCTGATGAAATATTAATCTACCAAGTCTGTTTCTGTTATATAAATTTAATAATTTATAATGATTTCAAATCTGATAACCTCTCAATACTGATACAAAACTTGTCCACCATGCATACCGATTTTGGGAGGTTCAACTGTATCAGACTTTCTTTTTGTATAGAAAGTGATACATCCATTTTTCAAAAAAAAAAAAAAAATTCTTGCAAAATTGAATATCATTAGAAAAATACAATTATCAGTTAAAATTATTTATTTTTAGTATTATACTTTTCAATCAATAATTTCCACCAATCTAAGCAACGAATAATAAAGACCCGGTAAAATACATAATAACAAAAGATATTAGTTGGTTTTCCGAAATAGCCAAGTCCATCCCGTTAATGTGTTTCCTAATCCAGATATGATACCCTCATAGCGAGATGAAATATCAAGACATTTTGATTGTGAAATATATATATATATCGGAAATGTAAAATTTCTGATCCAATAATGAATGAATATGAATTTACCTAAAAAAACAGATACACCAATTATGGTGAAGGAATTTAATCCTAATCAATTATTATAAGATAATCTTATTTATCGATGTGGGGAAGGTTAATAGAAACAGGCAAATTGTTTTTAGTAGAAATATATATATTTTTTTGTTACCTTTAAAATTAAAAATATTCAACATTTAAATTTGGTTTGACAATTGTTGAGATATTTTAATTTAAAGTTTAAAAAAAAAAATTTCTTGAAAAAATTTGCCTGTTTTCTATTTATTTCACCACATATACTGTATGGTATAGTCTGGTGCAAAAAAATTTGCATCTTTAACATAAAAATTAAATTTGTTTATATATGAAAATTTTTGAATTTTAACTATTTACTTATATTTTTTTTATATTAAATAAAGTAGGTTTTATGCTATTTTTTAATCTATTTTTTAATATATTTTTATAGAAATTTTATTGAGCAATAAACTTAAATAAATTCAATTTTATTAAAAAAAATAAAAATATTTAAAGTTTTTTAGATTTTAATCATTGTTGCAACTATTATACAAGTGTATTGCTATACATATGCTGTATATATAGTTAAAATTTTAGCTTAATTAGTAGTTGTTGAGATATAAATTTTTAAAGATTAATAATCAATTTACTATGTAGTACAAAAGTTGTACACAATTACATAGTAATTTTTGTACAACTTTTGTACTACATAGTAAATTGATTATTAATCTTTAAAAATTTATATCTCAACAACTACTGATTCAATTAAGCTAAAATACAAGCTTATTAGGTTGCATATTAGTTGCAACAATGATTAAAATCTAAAAAACTTATCCAAATTGGTTGATCTTTAGTACTGTATAACTGGGCAATATAGAACTATTATAAGATTATATATAAATAAATAACTATTTAACCTAATTTAAGCAAATTTGAGAATAGTTAGTGTTAGGGTGAGCTTGTAGTTTATATTAAAAGCTTAGGGTTAGAGTTAGAGGTTTTTTTATATTATAATCTTATAATATTTCTATATTGCCCAGCTATACTAAAGAAGATCCTATGTTTTGTCGAAAATAGGTATCATTCATAACATATATATCCAAATTTATACGTACTGTATAAAATACTAAAATACAGGAATATACTGTAACTTAATTGATGATCGTATGTAGTTAATATGATATGAAAGTGTATCAGATATTGCTCTGCAAGAAAAAAAACAAAATACATTATAATTTTATCAAAATTTATTTTACTGTTTTATTCTTTTGATGTAGCTATAAACAGCAATCTACTCAAAAAATTTTTTTTACTTAATACAGTATATCTCTATATCTGATATAATTACTAATTATACTGTATTTTTAATACTGTATACTGTATATACTATATATATATAATATATATATATTATATATATATATAGAAATATATACTTTATAAGAGCCATACTTCTATATATATATATATAAATACTGACCTTTGTATTTCAAAAACGTAATTATATGAAGGTTAGACTACAGTATATTGTATATAATACTGTATACTACAAATTTATAAAATACTGTAGACTAGCTCCAAATAATAATAAACTGGTAACTGGTTCATTTTCAAGAGCTACAAAATTGAAAAATAAGAATAGTCCATAATTCTAGCTGAGAGGGAATGGAGTAGGCTAAAGATTAGTCGATCTCAAAGTTTTTTTTGAGTGTACAAGATACGTACAACGTAAGTTCCTGCAAAGAAGAGAACATGAAACATGTTTTCTGTGAAAAGAAGAGGATGCAGCGCAATAATCTAACGTCAATTGTGTCTTCTACTTTATCTTCTTCATCTTTAGACTGTATTGTAAGATATTCACTATTAGCACCAATGTCATATTTCATATTGTCTTCTAAAATCCAATTAATTTCTCTTAATTATTTCAGAATACTCTAATGGATTGCTTTCCAGCAAGATCTGGCATGTTAGTAACCAAAAATAGTACCCCGTAGCCCCAACTTCCAAAGAAATTTTCCCATCAATAAAAAGGTCCTAATAATGTAGACAAAGGCAATATACCTACGAAACCTTGATATAAATCCTTGCCGTTGAGCGTTTATCAACTCGGACACATAACACAATCAGAGTGAATACTTGGGGAAACAAATTCGGCACAATATGGGATAGATAAAACCATACTTTTCGGCACTTGGAATCAAGATTGTAAGTATTATCCGGCATCGGCGACAAATGCCAATGTATAAAAATATTATTGCGTTCATATATTTATTAACACAAATTTAATTACGTCGTGAACTTATAAAAATAAATTTTTATTACTCTTTATTCACTTCCGATAAGCACTTACTTACTTCCGAAGTGTTCCTCCAAAACTTAAACTTGCACCGTTAAGTAGCTCACAAAAAATGAAGACACCATCAATTCTTGTTCAGCAAACTCATAAGAAAAAAAGATTATATAACAGCAGATTTTATTAAATTTACAAAAAACAAAGAAATTAGGTGACCTATGTACATTACTTGCATAATTAATGACAACATCCAGCATATTACTATAATTCGCTTCGAACAAGCGCGCAAAGAAATTATCACGTGTATACTGGTAGTTCCATCACGTGCACCGACGCGTAATCATCCATATTCTGTCGATGATAGTACTACCGTTGTATTACCCATATGATCACAATTCACTAAATTCACTAGAAGTTGATTGAAGTTTAGTATAAATCAAACAAAGGAGCAAAACCGAGTATAAAAAACATATAAAAAGTATAGGTGAAGCACCATACATAGCAAAAGTCAAAATAGCTGCCTTAACAACACTATTTTGGCTGTCCTATTGTAGAGTTTGCCGTTCTCTAAACTGTCCTTTTTTTTTCTTAGTAGTTTACAAATTCCATATTCTCAAGTTCGTCGCCTCATCTACCTGTTAAATACCAATCACTACTTGTTTTAATTTAAAATGGAGGACAACGCTTCTAAGATTTCGGAGCTATGCGTCAATTGTTGCAGATTTTTTGGGTAAGCTGCTTATGGAAATTAATTTATAAATTAAAGCCAAAAGATGAATTTAGTGTTGCGTATACTGAGTTTTAGTGATTTCATTTTTAAACTAACGTCCTTACTTCTATTACATAATAATCGGTTAACAAAACCTAGAAATCCGATCTTCAACCACATGTGCTCTAAATGCTTCAAAGAATGCAACGCAAAAGCAAAGAACAGCCAAAGTGGTAAGTTACTTTCTTAAAAAGCTTCACTTTGTACTAAAAATCTCTAGTTAATTTACTTTGCATAATTATTATTTCAAGTTGAAAAAACTATAGAACCAGCGCTTCCTGCAGCATCAACACATCAACTAACCTCAACTACAGCTACAAACGAACTCCAAGATTCTATTTCACCAAATTCCACTCCCGTGGAAGTTCCTCAGACAAATTCGCTCGAAAGTGTTGCGAGTGCCTCTATTCCACTTGCAACTCAAGAGAATATACAAGCACGACCTATCCAAACGAACCAATCACGTTGTTTCAAATGTAAAGCTAAAATTCCCTTGGCTAAGCAAACTATTAATAAATGCCGTTGCGGTATGTATGCCAGTAGATATATGTATTATATATATATATATTTAAAATTTAAATTCATAATCTGATTTATTTTTTTTATATTTTTTTTCTATAGAATATGTTTACTGTGACAATCATAAAATTCCAGACAAACATGATTGCGATTTCGATTTTGCAAAGATGGGTAAAGATATCTTGGCAAAGAATAATCCCAAATTGAATGAAGTGCATAAAGGAGGCCGTTCGTTTAATAGAATTGATTAAAGTAATAAACGATAGAGTAATAATTTTGCGATTTATTTTGGAATTATAATCAAAAACTTGGGATTTATATACACTCTAGATAAATGGGTGGATTGGTTATAGCATTATTTGCTTTACTTTCTTATCATTGCGATGCAATTTTAATTTCGCATACGGACATTGTTTTTTTCTTAGTTCTGAGCCAATTCAGTAGTTTTGTTTTTTTTTGATTTTATTATTATCGTCCTTTTTTTTTGGCATGTATTAATTGGAAATTAGAACTAAAAATGTTTGCTTTATAATATATATTCGATAAATAACAAATATAAAAATACATTCGTGTGTAAGTGTCATGTTTGTATTTTGAACATTTTATCTTAACAAATTTTGTGGTTTTTGAAGGTTTATATGAATTATTTTTGTACAATATCTTAATAGCTATCATTGTTTATTGCTGATAAGCAATTTGTATATAATGATGGATTGTTAAACTTTATGTCGATTTGTAATTATAAATATATAATGAATAAACAAGTAGGTAATAAAAGATTTATAATTTAGAATTTGAATTTTTTCATACCTATGTTAGATTATATGATATCATATATTATTTATTCCTTTTCCGCAATAATATTTTATGGTTAGAATTATGATTTCTTATGGCAAGATTCAAATGATTTGAAAATTCTATCGTTATCGTCGTTATCGTTATCAACTAAACGATATTCATACTAATTGCAGGGGTGTGACAGGACCGTTGGGCGTCAAAATAAATATACTATGGTGATCTTATTCTTCAAAAACTCGATTATTTATTATTGTATCAGTTATTACGTACCTCCGTACCAGATACATGATTACACAGATCAACGAATTCACATTTTTATCTAAAGATTTGGTCAAAATGCACATTTTTTTTTTTAGTTGTTTTAGGGATAAACAAAATGGTGTAAAGAAATATACAGTAGTATTTTTGATTATCAGTTGTGCTAAAGTGTAAAATACAATTTTGAAAAGCTAATATATTATTTAAAATATTTAAAATAAATGGCATTTATTAAAAAGCAATAAAAGTTATAATTATTTAAAAGTTTTAACAAAATTGTTCAGCTTAATATATTTTTTAAGTTTGCTTGCTACAGTATCATATTATGGCGCAGTATCAATCCTACAATATTTCATGATCCAGTGATTACTACGTCTCGACGAGACCAAATCTCTAATCAATGGACCACGAGATATTGCAGGTGCGCCAAATACCCTTTTTAACACTAATTTCTCATGACCATGTGATCTGAATCGACACCATTTGATTCGTCATGATGAGACGGATTGATAATATATATAATTACTATTCTACTGTATAAAGCCAATTAGATCTCAAGATCGCGTATATACGTATAAAATCATTTATCGTTATATTCTAACAGAAAAAAATTCTTGATATATATGTATAAACTATATATATTTTTCATCACAATCTCACTGACTCTAACATTAGTCACATGGTTTTTATTTTATCAATAAAAAAAAATTATTTTGATGGCTACAAAAAAATTTATCCTTAAAAAAATTAGTTATGTGATTGTCGTGATATATATTACTAATGCGCTATAAATAGCTAGATACTCATTACTAAACAATATCCTTCGGAAAAATTGGACAATTTAGTTATACACTTTTGCTGTTTAGTATTTATATGCTTTTTTTTTCGTCAAATTTATTTCATGGGAAATTGCACACAATGTCATTTAAGCGATAGATTTCAATTTGCACTCTGGTTGGTCTATTTTTCATATTTATGCATTCTGATTAGTCAAGTTTAAACTTTAAAACCATGTGAAATTTTTGAAGAACGCAAGCAAAATACGGTAAATATCTGGTTAAAGTACTTTATGCTAGGGGAGCGTTAATTTTATAAAAAAATCTAGAACATTCGAATTTCAAATGATCGACAACACGTGGGCGGACACTGTACCCACGTGCCTTTTCGAGGATTTAATTAAAATCAGAGTGGGGTTAGGGAAAAAGCAAACTTGTAGGTAAAATTGTCTCCCAACCAGTGTTTGAAATTTCAGATCTAAACACTGTTCTCATGAGAACAGTATAATATCTATAGATGTTCTCACACCAATATTTCTGTTTTCACTTAATGATTATAAAAAAAAAAATTAATACTATTTTGATTTTGAAGTGTATATATGTATTTCAAAATTTATCTTAGATAAGCGTTAGTATACAAGATGCTGGCAGAAGGTGGTGCTCTAGTATATGAAATTTGGGTAAATAAGTAGAGGTAATAGTAGTTCAAGCCTTTTATTAATGAAGCTAGCTGTTGCAAAACAACTGATAAACAGTAAAGAACAAGCATCTCTTAAGCTGCTTTTTTTTTTTCAACCAAGTGGTTTTTTTTATACTTTTTTCTGTTTTTTTTGTCTTTCTTTTAAAATTTTTTGAAAAAAGTGAGGATTTGGCTTACATTTTCAAAAGATTAGCATTGTTTACTTTCCAAATTCAGATAATGTAGTAGAACACAACTACGTATTTATGGATACAGAGCTACTATACAGAACTGGGCCCCTGGCACAGAATTCTTAATGGTAGTAGCAGGTGGCTTGAGATACAGGTCTACAGATCTGGTTAGAGATACGAATTAGAATGAGCTCAAATGAAGTTATTTGGAGTTAATTGGAAAATCAAAAAGAAAAATTTAACATTAAGGCAAAGTTTTATAATAGAGATATACAAATATTGCATTTATTATATAATTTTTATTTTTGTTTAGTATAGGCTATAATAGTATACTTATTATACATTGTTTTTTTCTTTGTTTTCTTCTGCCTTTTTTTTTCTTTTTTTCATTTTAGTTAAAAAATATACTATAAATATACAGTGCTGATCACACTATTTATAATAATAGAATATTGATCTAATGGTTTTAAAAATTTCTTTATATCAATCCAAAAATAATCACTAACTAATCAAATTAACTGAATAGAAAAAAATTTTATTATTATGCAAACTAGAATATTTCAAATTTTATTTACTTTTTTAATAGTTTATTTACTTTTTTAACAAGAATTAACTAGAGTGGATTATTGTGAATTATTTAAACTACATGTTTTCTACTATCCATTAATGCTTTTATTTAGAAGTTTTAAGCAATAAATAAAACGTGTAAAAAATTTCCTAAAACTACTGGCAAGAAGTTGTACAAAAGCCAATCAAATCTGTACAAATTATTCTAGAACCAGATTTTCTAATTTGTCCTTATTTGCTATATTCCCTAATTGTATTTATGTTTTCTTGGCTGTATTATTGTAGTATTAATATAGATATTTCTCCTCTTTTGAACTTTCCTTTTTTTTTTTTTTAATCATAAAGTTTTTTTGTATAGTAGTTAGAAGTTTTTCTTTCTACTTGGGAAGTTAGAAAAAAAAGGTTTAGAATTAAGAAGAAAGGATGCAATCATGGTGAGCAGGATATAAATGCCTTCCAGTAAAATATTAATTTTTTCAGTTATAGAAAAAATAATATGGAGGAAAAGTTTACTATAGCAAATCAAACATGGGTAAATTGAACTTTGGTTATAAGGAACCAGATTAGCCAACTCTTGTACCTTAGGTAGGGATATGTGACTAAGTCTATATAAACTAAAATCATGCTTCTGTGAAATAGAATTATAAAATAAAGAAGAAAGTGTTTAACCTAATAAAGTATTGGCATGATTGCCAAATTGATTCAAAAAAAAAAAATTTATCTTAGATTAATATAGCTATCTTTATATTGGAATTTTTTTATGATTTTTGAATATAATATATTCAGCATTTCACTTTATGTATTAATATTATAGTTTTCTATTATATACTTATGAGCATGATTATTATTTTACTGTTCTCAAAAACTTTTTAATAGTGAACAGTAAAAAATTTATACTATGTACAAATTTATAATTGTGTTTTCATGAGAACTCTGAGAACACAAATTTCAAACACTGCTCCCAACATATTTGTTAGTATTTCATGACAGGTTTATACTGCCGTTTTTCATATTTTTGCAAAAAAGTTATATGGGTACATGGCTTTAGATGACCCTCCTTTTCTGTACACTAAGTGTTCTCTGCTACGCTCTGGACAATAATGTATTATAATAGAAAAAAATTTTGGTGCTGTATATTAGTTATAGCTTGTCACGGCTAAGAATCCCAATCTGGAAACTTTACATAAAAAAAGATTTTTTAATTTCACATTATATCAACGAATAATTTTACACTGTCAAGTCCATATCTTGGCTTTCTAATATATTCTTCAATAAAATCTTTTATATACTGTACAGCACTGGCTAAAGTATCCCTCCTATGTATAATACCCTCTCCCCAGCTATGGAAAGGTTCCTTCTAAAGTAACTGGATATAGCTATTAATACTTTGTACTTAGTACATATATGAATACATATTTTATTAGACCAAGATACCCCAAGCTGTACCCTTCGAGTAAAATACCCATGCAAAATGGTCTATTTGTAAAATACTCTGGGTACTTAAGTCAGTGCTGTACGGTAGCCTTGTTCTACATTTATATGATCACATAACGGGGTTTTATGTCTTATAATCACTATTTTAATCAGTAAAGACCAATTTTTTATCAATGCAAGTTATTTTCCCAGACTTCCAGGGAAATAAAATAGTACTTATTTCACTAAATAAAAAATTTTAATCACATGTAAGCCAGCAAAATAATCCAACTACTATTTTTCGAAATAATTCAAATTATTTACTAACATGCCAAATAATCAAATTATCACTTTTCCGGAATAATCACGTGGACCACTTAAATGACAATCATCTACTTTATTGGTCGATTGCCATGTGTTTGATTGATTCAAAGTGGCCAATCTACTAGTTTCAAACTTGTTTCAACATGTGATTCTGGTTTTTATCAATACGCGTACACAATAAAAAAGATACCATATATATAAGATCATTTTTTCATCTAACATGCATCAATTTATTTTTGTTTTTT